TTCTTCAGTAGAACAATACTCAACTATTCGAAAGCGCTCGAGTTTTGAGTTTTATTTTAAGTCTATTACACTTTATATGTGATTATTTGTGCTAACTCTTTTTATCAAAATCGCTAAATTAGGAACGGCTAGCACAGATAGCCCTCGAGAAGTTTTGCGCGAAACTCACACTAAACCAATTCAAACCTTCTCATTAGATTCACCTGTCAAATGTTAACTATCACTTAATCTGGTGGATGAATTATCTTATAGACTTATTTGTAATGTCTTCAAGACTAGAAAACATGTTGTTAACATTGGCAGAAAAAGGTTGCTTGAGAAAAAAACAGTAACACTTTTTTATATATAATCATCGCTACTCTAGTGACCTATACTCAATGAGAAACTTTACAAATAACAAAAGGAATGTATGAATATAGAGAAACGTAAGAAGCATCCTAAGAGTCAGAGGGAAATGTCACACAACTCCCTTGAAACTCTGGCAATAAGAACAACAACGAAAAAAAAAAATCAGTGTGAGCATGTTGGCATGTTTGAAGCAGATAGTACTATGCTGTTTCTGGCATTCAAACGACATTGGCTAGTTTGGGCAGGCTTGATGGATATTTCATGTACTTCCTGTAAACACGGGTCTGGTTTTCACATGTTTATTTTATTTGAAACCTCCATGTAGGGAGAATTTAAAGCGTAAGTTGCGAGAGGCTTCAGCGACTCCTGTGTTTGTTTTGAAATAAACGAGAACAATATGTACATAGAAAACAGGGTTAAGATTGTCTCACACATAATTTACGTAGTTCATAACGTGCGAGCACTTATATAAGTTTCAAACAGTGTGGTCAAACTGACTATCAACACTCGTTATGATATTTTTTTATCACCTGAACGACACCTTGTGGAGGAGACTTGACCGTGAGGCCTCTGTGGAAGAAATTTCTGCTTAGTCCGCAGGCGAAAGATTGTCAGTCAGCAGCGCTCGCCGCCTGAAGTGACTACTCTTATCCGAATAGCAGAATTAACTATCTCTCTTATAACGCACCTGAAATTGAAAGTGCGAAGCTTATTTGATTGTTTGTTTTGAATTTCCCGCAAAGCTACACGAGGGCTATCTGCGCTAGCCGTCCCTAATTTAGCAGTGTAAGACTAGAGGGAAGGCAGCGAGTCATCACCACCCATCGCCAACTCTT